AGCATTGGGAATTGAACCGAGGACTCCATACCACTTACCCACATTCCCAATCCATTTTTTAAAAAATTTTTGAGGTTGAATCTTAAGTTGCTCACACTGAACTCAAACTTGCAGTCCTCCTGCCTCAGTGTCCCAAACAGCTGGGAATACAGGTGTGCACTGCCACACCACACCCATAAAAACATTTTTTCATAAAAATTCTCATTTATATTTCTGAGTCTTCTGCTTGCTTGCTTACTCTGTATGTTTCACAAACCTTAACATGCGCGGTGATGTGGTGGTTATGCTTTCTCCTCCCAGGCGGCTCCGAGTGTTAACAAGGCATTGGAACAGTTTGTGAAGCCGGAACAGCTAGATGGAGAAAACTCCTACAAGTGCAGCAAGTACGATGGGGGGTAACTTGTAGTCCCTGATTTGGCCTTGGTTTTATAGAGTTTGCCTTTAGCTTTTTTAGAGAGTTTTCCATCTGGGGAGACACTGGCTGGCTGTCTTCCAGAGGCCAGAACAGTCAGTGTCTGGTATCTGCACTCTTTCAAAATGGGCAGCTCTGTGCCCCTTGGAGAACTAGTGCTACCACCCAGGATGCCAGAGCGCTGTGACACCTTGTCTGTTAAGCAGCACTTTCCTTGACCTTCCCATTAGACAAGATGAGGTAGGGTGGGGGTCACCCTCTCCCCTGAGAGAGTTGAGGATCTTTCTTACAGTGAGTATACATGGTGTGGGATAGTGTCTGCTAGCAACCTCTAATTTAGATTATTCAGTAATGCATTTCCCCAGGCAGTCAAGGGAGTCTGTTTTAAGTAGATTTGTATGTTATAGTCAGGTGATACAGATATCTATATCAGATTATCTTTTATCGTCAATATTTGGGGGGAAAAGGAGGCTTTTCTCTCAAGACTAGGGATTTCCCTTGACACTTTTCATCTTTTTCCTTTTTTTTTCCCCCCTTTTGTATCTGGGTAGTGCTTTGATTTCACAGAGTTATACCAGCCTAAAAAAATCAATTAGCTTTCAGTTATGAATTATGAATCTACTATTGTATTTTCCTTCAGTGCTGGGGATTGAACTTAGGTCCTTATGCATGCTAGGCAAGCATTCCACCTCTGAGCTACACTCCCAACCCAAGTTAATCTGTTTTTGACATCACTGTTACCCTGTGCATCCTGATGTTTCAGAATTGTTCTTTTTTTCCTGTCGTGCTACTAGGCAATTTCCCCAGCTTTTTTTTTGTTTTCTAGTACTGGGGATTTAACTCGGGACCTTGAGCTTATAAGGTGTTTTTTGTTTTTTGAGAAGTATCTCACTATGTAGTTCAGACTGGCCTTGAACTCATTATGTAGTCCAGGCTGGCCAGAACTCTTGGCCATGCTCTTGTCTCAGGCTCCTGAGTGCTGGAATTACAGGTGTGTGCCACCACAACTGGCTACCACCAGTATTTTTAATTTAAATATTTTCATTGTTGGGGTTTTTTTGGGTGATGTTCTTTATCTGTTATCTTTCTTTTGGAATCTTAAAATTAAGGTATTTCAGAGAAATCACAAGGAGACTAAAAGCAAAAATTTAAAATATTAATCTTCTTAATCCTTTATTTTTGTTTACTTCAAGGTGTAAAAAGATGGTTCCAGCTTCAAAGAGGTTTACTATACATAGATCATCTAATGTTCTTACACTCTCTCTGAAACGCTTTGCAAATTCTACTGGTGGAAAAATTGCGAAGGTATGTAGATGATGTTATTAATAACATTTTATGTTTTATTAACAGCATCAGTAGTTGTTAAGGATTACAAATAACCTAACTGAATAGTTTTGTTGATTGACTTTCTGAGTTTTTTTGCATTTGATAGCAGGGGAAAAAAAGTCAAAGAACTTAATCATTTGGTCTGTGCTTATGAGTATATATATTTCTACTGTACTTGTTTAGGCAAGACTATCTAGTGATAAAATTGGGAACTCTTATCTGTGTTTTGGGTTCAGAGTCAATTCCTTTGTAGCCATGATAATGAGAGGATACAGGGAAAGGTTGTACAACTGGAAATCCAAAGAGAACTTCCTTACTAGATTTTGCCTCTCTTTCATCAGAATTTATTTTCTTGTTTTCTGATTTTTCACTTCCACTGAATTTTCCTGTTTTTTCTTTCTTTCTTTCTTTTCTAGTGGTCAAAAATTCAATAGCAAAGCTGGGCATGGTGTTCGGGAGGGTAAGGCCAGGAGGGTTATGAATTTGGGGCCAGGCTGGACTACATTGTGAGTTTAAAGCAGCCTGGCCTACATAGTGAGATCCTGTTTCAAAAAAAAATTAAAAATGCAATGACATATAAGAGAAATAACTAATACTATCATGGATTTGAAGAATTTACTTAATGTGGAACCTTGTTTAAGGAAAGTAAAACAGCAAGAATCCCTTAACTACCCTTAGATCAGGTATCTTCCAGGTTAATTGTATCCTTTGAAAAGTGATTAAATGCCCTGGGTTTCTGCTGAAACACCATTGCACAGTGCTGTGCAGGTCTCCTGGGATACCCTAAATACCCTGCACCTGAATATGTGGGGCCTTCTGTGCCTTTAGAAATGACATTCCTTTCTCATTTTTCCATTTCTGTTTAGGATGTGAAGTACCCTGAGTATCTTGATATTCGGCCATACATGTCTCAACCAAATGGAGAACCCATTATTTATGTTTTGTATGCAGTGCTGGTCCACACCGGATTTAACTGCCATGCGGGCCATTACTTCTGTTACATAAAAGTAAGCTGTGTAGATTATGCTCATTGCTTTTACATAGATACTATAAGACAGTAAGCACTAGCATTCTTTGGGGGGAAAGGTGGGAGTTTTACAATTAAAGTATGAATGCTTATTTTTCTTATTTTTATTGTGCCCTGTTAACCCAACAAAATCTGATCTCTCTGTCTTACTGGCTATGTTTTGCAGGCTAGCAATGGCCTGTGGTATCAAATGAATGACTCCATCGTATCTACTAGTGATATTAGATCGGTACTCAGCCAGCAAGCCTATGTGCTCTTTTACATAAGGTATTGTCATGAAAACAAGTCACCACATTTTTTGTAATGTCTTTTCATCTCATCCACATTCAGTTCAGCTTTACGTTATTTTCGAAGACCAGAGTTTCAGGTTTACTCAGAAGAGGCCTCTCCTGAGTATGGATTATAAGTTTGTAATAGCTTCCAGCTCTTTGGCACTTGGTGCTGACATGCAGAGGAAAGGTGACAACTGAGGGAGTAGCGTGGCTTATGTTGCTGGTAGCAAATGTAGTGGACCTAGGGATATGGAGGCCATGGGTGGGAGGCTCTGGAAGTGCGCTCTAAGCACCCTCATAGTCCCACCCAGTCCCTCCCCAGTGCTCAGCGTGATGCTGGTTAGACATTGGCCAGGGCTGAGGCTCATCCTGCTGCAGCTGAAGTATAAATTCCACTTTTGGGAAAAAAACCTGATATGTAATCCAGGGTGTGTCCCCTGCTTTTTTTCCTTGCTGGGAATAGAACCCTTAAGCATGCTGAGCAAACACTCTACCCCCAAGGTATACCATTTTAATTGGGTAGCTTAAAGTTAAGAGCATCTTAAGATATCCAGCAATAGCAGAATGATGTATTGAAACTTTACACCGTTGTTAAGTGTGATTGTTCTTTTTCTTCTTGAGTGTCTTCCTATGTTGCCCATTGCCTGCTAGTGATTTTTTTTTTTTTTTGAGCATTTGTATACAATTTGTTTTATTGAACTCCCACTTTTTAAAGTTTAAGGTCATACCTCTCAAGTTTGATGTATTACACACAGATTGTGCAGAATATGACTATGAAGAGATACAAAAGTAGTCCATGCCCAAAAAAGATATACTAGAATACAGAATCATCTTCATAAGTATATATAAAATTCTTGTGAAGATAAAGAGGTAGTGATTTTATAAATCTTTTTCTAAATGCTTTGGGAAAGTGCTGACTGAATAGGAGGGAAAGCAGTTTGAAATATTAAACACTGGTGTTGGGTAAAGACTGTGGGGAATGATTGATCAAAGGGGAACCAGCTCTGATGGGGTGATGCGGTATTTTGTTTTTGTTTTTTTTCCTATTTTTCTGGGCACCATAGGTTTTCTCCAGTGGTGTATATTATTTAAAAATATAAACAAAACTAGCCTTCCAGTAGCAGCATCCTCAGAACACAGTATTTAAAAATACCATTTCATTTAGTCAATAGTCAAGTGCCCTTACGTCCAGAGGTAATGCATCACATGGCTTTTTTGCAGTACCTTTGCCATCAGGTTCTTTCAGAGGGGCTGATTAATAAGCTGAGAGGTCACTTCGTCATCCTCAGCCTTTCCTTCTTGGCTCTTAGATCCCATGATGTGAAAAACGGAGGTGAACTTACTCATTCCACCCACAGCCCTGGCCAGTCCTCTCCCCGCCCAGTCATCAGTCAGCGGATTGTCAGGCAGGCTACGTCAGGATTCATTAGACAACTTCCCTCTCACATGATGAAGGTAACATTTCACATTTTTACCTTTACCGTAAGGATGTATCCTCAAACATTCAAATGTTCCATTTACACCTGGATTTCTTATCAGTAAAGCTTATTCAGGTTCTTTCTTTCAAAGTACTTAAAATATACAGGAATCTCAGCATGAACAGGGTAGTTGAGAACATACATATATATATATATTT